GGGTTGCGTCATCCTTTAGTTGTTCCGATAATGAACGGAACAGATATTTTCCGAATAGTTTTTATTGGTCATTGTCAGGTTTTGTATTTAATGTTGCACATCATTGGATTCGTCTTGTCAGCCGCTATCCGAAAATAAGTAATGAAAAATTGTATTTAAAAACTCAATCTAGCAAAAAAATACTAATGTTATATTGTAGTCCTGAATTTTTCATGAAACTTTTTCCTTATCCACTTTCGGCTACTATTATACTTTCGGAGCTATTTAGATGGCAAGAACTAGTGAATCACCTTGTATATATACACATATATATAAAAAAAATCCCATTGAATATTTATATGATATGTAGGGTACATTATACTGATTTTGAATAAAAAAGCTTTAGTAAACATTGGTCGAAAAATCAATCGTTTTTGAGATATAAACATTTTGATTTGTTATTAATGTAATTATGTAATGTGAATATCATTTATGTAAAATGATAATTGTAGGAAATTCATCAAATGTCGGGGAAAATAAAAGGTTAAAAGACGCAAAGATCACTCTTACAAGATGAGCATTAAACAGGAACGGTTAAAAAAAAATGAAAAATAAGAAAAAAAGAAAGATAGAAAGAAAAGAAGAAGGGTGATGAAAGGAAGGAATGAATAGTTAAAACGTGTGGATGAACGTCTTGCACTTCATTGTTTCGTTACAACACAACCACGTAATCACGATCTAGGACATACATACATACTTACTCACGTTATTTACAGTACCCTACATAAATATTTGAAAAAATATGTGAAATATAAAGGAGTATCACTATACAACGATCGCATAATTTGAACATTCCAGTTGATAAGGTTTACGGAAGGCACATGGGTGATAAGAGAACGTACATAGGGTACACATCGGTTTTGCTCGAGTTAGGCTTCCCGAGTTACGATAAGAGTAACAACGACGTATCGTGCCCTAGTGGTGTATTACCACGTGTTAAAGGAAAGAAAAGGGAAGAGAAGAGAAGGGAAAAGAGGAAAGGAGAATTGTTGAACGACAGAAACAACCTTATCATTGATCAACAGTATCCAGAGTGAAATAGAGAATGAGAATTTCAAATTACGTCGTATCGAACGATTCATTAATATTTTGTTGATTAAAGAATAAAAAAAAAGACAATCGCATTAATTCTTTCACGTGGCACGAGGAATAACTTAAAATTGTTTTGCTTATATTAGATATTTGAATTGTATATATGATTGTTTTAATTTAAAATTAAATTGAATTGTACAGCATCCTGTTTACTAGATTTGAGATAATATATCTTTTTTATCTATACGCATTAAGAACGGTTAAAATGTATAACTAGTGAGTACACATGCTTTGATAAGTGTTTTACGTATACGACGCTTACTATAGTTTGTGATATCTCTTGTTTAAATTATAGAAATTATCAAGTCGCATTACGTTGTTATCGTACGATTAATTATTCGAAAAGAAAGAAATAAAAAGAAAATAAAAAGAAAAAAAAGAGAAAAAAAACATAGCCAATCACATTACGTATAGTTCTTGTTTCAATTACAATTTCAATATGAGTAATATTGTATTTATAAGGCTTGAAAAAGTAAATTGAGATCTTAAAATCCGGTGAAAATTCTTGAAGGTGTATAATCGAAACTAGGTGTGCTAATATTTCGAAAGAGATGAATGCGTTGTCGTGGAAACTGCAAATACTCGAATGGCATGGTATGCCAGTACGAAGCCATATGATCGTCGATGAGTACGAAGCTGTCGAAAGGGGGTGGAGATGGAATCCCATCCCCAACATTCGTACATATCTCACCTCGATCGATATCACAGCGGGTAGCAGGTGGCCTTCTATGCTAAGCTTTGGTTTTTTTCCTTCTTCTTCTTCTTTCATTCTTACTGTCCTATCCTTTCCCTTCCTTTCCCCTCTTTTATTTTTCTTTATCAAATTCATAATTTCATTTCGTCCTTTTATATCGCTCGATAAATATCAAACTCGTAAATCGACGTTATATATCAAAAATCGTGTCTCCATTGATTCTCGAGAGATGCTAACTTGTCGTAAAGATAAGATATCTCTTCTATTGCAGAAAAGATTAAAAAGATACGAAAACGAGGTACAGATCGCGTATTATAAAAATTTCAACATTCGTAAAACGTAGTTTTATCGATCGTTATATTTCGTCCGATAATATCGAACAATAAAAAATGGGTAATTTTTTTATAAAAAGTTATTCGAATCAACGTATAATAAGAATTCCGACACTGCGATTTGCATTTACTCTATAAAAAAGAAATGTTTTTTGTTATTTATTTATTTTTTGCTTTTCTCTCTTTTTTTTAAATTATGACCCATGTCTGGAATATTTGCAAATTCGACATTTGCCATTATCTGCTTACCGTTGCGAAGTTTCTACATGTGTATAATTATCGGCCAATGAGAACGATAATGAAATACGTTTGGTCGTAACAACAAATTTGCCAACGTTGAAGGAAACGTCAAGAAAAAAAATAAAATAAAATGAAATAAAAGAAAAAAGATAAGTAACAAAAAAAGAAAAAAAATAGAAAAATTGCAGAACCGATGTTTCGCATTGATTTATCAAAAGAAATAGAATATTCCTGTATTAATTACTAATCAGCTCTCTTTTTTCATCTCCGAGGAGCATTGTGGTAATAAATAGAAGAATGAGATAAAACTACATGGCGCAGGGTGTTGCGACGTGGTGATTGCAAACGTGCAGAGCACGGTCATGCGTCACCGTAGCCAATAAATCCTTCCGATGAAATTCTTTTCGACCGAGCTACGACGCGAGGTTACGCGTGTTTTTACTCAATACATGTATTTTCTCACACAATAGACGAAAAAGAAAAAACGAACATAATCAACGTGTTCGCGGATCTCCCATGTGACTCAGAAAATATATATCAAATAAAGAAAGAAAAATCTAGACAATCAAATACGAGAGATATAATAAATGAGAGACTTCGAAGATACGTTTAAGTTATATAAAAAGTAAAAAAAAAAAAGAAAAAAACTTATCGTCCAGGAAATTATTAAAAAGTTTTTTCTCTTTTTTTTCTTTAACGTAGAGAGCATTAACATTAATATCAAATATCATATATGTGAAGCTGTCAAAATAAGCTCAAGTATTAGCTTACACACATGGTACGACTATCTCGCATAAGTTTACTAAACGAGACTTAGTCGACTTTCGTAATCGCGTCCTCCTTTTTTCGAACAGCACAGACGATTTATTTGACCAAAGTGTAATCTATAATATAACACGACTGATGTTCGAACGTAAAAAATACGAGACGACGAGAGAATTACGGGGATGTAAAAGAAAGAGTATACGAAAAAAAGGTAATTTTTATTATTAGAACGTTCTTATAGAATCAATAAATGAAGATCATTGGGATAGAGTCGCTTGATTATTATAACAATGAATAAGGGGCCGAGATCTCGAGGAGAGGATTCGAGGGAGGAAGGAAGGAAAAAGACGATAACTCTTTTTCTATGTTGTCAAGGTCGCGTGTCGTTTTACGTCTTGTGTTCGAATATGCGCGTTCGCATCAGTGAAAATGCACTGCTGTTTGTGTAAGAGTATATAGAATCTCTCGGATAGTCTCGCGAAAGTTCGTATTTTCGCAAGTAGAGAAGACGGAGGAGGTGCAGTGGGTAGGTGGGTGGCTAGGTAAGTGGGAGGGAAGCAGAGAGCGGCAAGCGTGCCAGCTGTGCGCTGGAACGGAGAGGTAAAGTTAGGTATAGTAAAGGAAGGAGAAAGAGGTTAGAGAAAAAGAGAGGGAAGATTTGGGGGTCGCGAGGTCAGGGCGCGTGATTGTAAAAGGAGAGAAGGTAAAGGAAGAAGAGGTGGTCTTTTTGTACTTACCTCGTTGAAGGCCATCTTCTTCGCTATGCTTCCGGACTCGCGGCTGCTTCCGGCGCCTCCTTGCCCCACCGCTGCCGGCTAACTCGAACCTCCGCCAGAGTCGACGGACTAATTTCTCCTGGTGTTGTTGCCGCGAGAGAAACAGAGCTGTTCGTCGTCCGTTTCGTTGAAATGCAGGAACAGTAAGCGACAGCGGCGCATCGACGAAACCGGGAACGGCACTCGCGCCGCAACGACGACGGCACTCGCGGCGAAACAACTCGCTGCGACGGACCTCTCTGCCAACCCTCCGCGACACACATACGTCACGGAAGATCCGCGAACGAGCACCTTCCGCGCTTAGAAAAGTCCCCTCCTACGAACTCTCTCCTCTTCTATCTCCTTCTTTCTCACCCTTTCCGTCTTCGTCACTGTCTCCGTTTTGTCTTATTCGAATTTCTTCTGTTTGCTTGCTTACTTGCTTGCTTTCTTGTTTGCTTGATTTCCTCTCTTTCTCTATTTATTTCTTTCTCCTATCAAAACGTCTACGCTTTAGAACAAGTCACCTCAATCTACAACAGACTCACTTTTCTTTCTTTTTTTCTTTCTTATTCTGCTCGTTACTTGGAATTATTTAAACCTTCTCCGACGAAGATATCGCAACTCGCAGACGACGAATTCGCGAACGCCGATCCAGCATTCCTCAGGTGGCCGCAGGAACGCACACCTTCGATCTCTCTTTCCTAAAATGCCGCGACGATACCGTCGGCAGCACTGGCGCTGATGGTAACTACTACGCAACGACGACGACAACGAATGTGAACAACACGACAACACAACGATAACAACAACAACAACAACAATGAAGAAGACGACGATGATGACGAAGATGACGACAACATCAACGACGATACAACGATAGTGACGGAGAGGAGAGGTAGGACGACGATTCTCAGTGACGATTCTTTTCGCCTGTCTAGCCTTCTCTCCTCTTCCGTCTTTCTTCGACTTTTTGTCAATTAACGTTTACCAAAACGTGAGCCACTAGACGTCAACGAGCAGACAATCTTTAAGCGTACACGATTTACTATATCCTTATAGAGCTTCCCCCCCAACACACTCTTTTTTCTAACCGTATTTATATCCACCGCAAAGGTATCCGCAAACAGAGGAGCGCCATCTTGATTTTCTTATGTCGCGGACAAAGTGGAATAAGATGCGCGCGATGTCGTCTCTTTAATTATTTCTTTTCTACAGTTGCCTTCCTGTTATCTATCTTTCGCGCCTATAATCAACAGATTTACGAAATGTACTTCAATAGTTTTCTATTTATTTTTAAACTTTAGATTGATTTTAATGGAAGATAACTATTTTATTTTCATAACACATTTTAATAACACTCTTAAATATACCGTACATAAACATTGATTAAATCTAAAAATTAATCACTTCGCAATACGATTATAAAATCAACAAATGAAAAATAAATAATACGGTCATATTACCTATGATCTCATTGGTCAATATATTAACTTATATAAAATTTCTGATTGGCATTATAAATGTATTTATTTTTTTTTCTTTATAAAATTCAGAAATAATTAATTTCTTATGAAATATAAACAAATTAATTAATTTTAACTTTTATTTGATATTTCTTTGACGTATAATAAATATATACATAAATAAATAGTATTAATTAATGCGGTATTATTCTCGACATTTGATTGGTCGAGGAGTTTATAAAAAATTACTTAGCTAAATATATTAATAAACGATAAATTAAATTTGTCACAACTTAAACTTATCAAATACTTTCTTATCTTTATGCATTAGTTCTCATAAATTATATCATTGTTGTCAACTAATCTTATTTTTTCTATAGCAAAGTGAATAATTCGAATGACCGTTGCGCCACATTTAGTCAACTGTTACTTTCAACATGGCTGCAATACGTCTACATAAGTAACTCATGTTGCGGTAGTCTTGCGAACAGTTCCTCATTTGTGTACTTTTTTAATAGTGAATTAGTAAATTTTTATATTGAAACGATATTCCTCGACGGGGGAACATTTCTGTTCGCGATTGAGTCTAACAAGAAAACTGTTAAATTAAGTAAAATGGGTCGTTCAAGATCAAGAACAAAATCGCCGAACAGAAGGCGTCACAAGAGCAAACATTCTCGCAAAAGATCCAAATCTCGTGAAAAACATTCGAATAATAAATATTCGGATAAACCAAAAGAACGCTCTTCAAAATCAAGGTTTTTTTATATTTATTGAAATATTTATTTATTCATATATATGGTTACATATATACATGGTTATATACGCGCATATATACATATATTATTATCGCTTCTTCGTCGCTATTCCACCATTTTGTCATGCGCCTTGCATCGATAGACGATGTTACATCTATTGCGTGTTAATTTATAAAATTACAAGCCAATTACATATTGTTTCTTTACATACTCATATGTTCTTTAGTTATTTATTAAGGTTAACATGAGGTTGTCTTCGTAATACTTTAATATTAACATATTACGAGAGAGCCGGTTATTCTCACCTGATTTCTGCCTATTTGCTAATGTATCTTATTAAATTATAAACTTATAAAATTTGATATAATTTAATAAATTTGTTTAATTTTCTTATTTCCTTATGTATGTATGTAACTTATTTGTGACCAGTGTTATCATGGATATTGATACATACTTTTCGCATGCAGAAAAAGATCTCACTCACCATCATCAAGTACAGGATCTGATGCATCTGATGATGTACATATAGTCAGTCATAAAAAAAGATCCTATAGAGACAGAGAAAGGAAAATGGATGAAGTCGAAAGGCTAGCTGAAATGGAAAGACAAAGGTAATTATCTAATTATTTTTCTATCGCAGTATCTATTTTATGTTGACATTGTATATAAGTTAATATTGTATGCGTGTATACAAATTTCTGGAGAGGATTCTTACATAAATTAATTCACATACATAATTAAATAATATTAAATCAATGTTTTTATTTTATCGGATAATAGAAGAAGGATTGTGTCTACATATATATGCAAAGCATTATTATTGCAACGGAATATGATATTTTGACCTAAAGCAAAAGGTTCAAATCACATAATCGAGTAAAAATTTTTGCATTTATTTTTTGCATGTCATTGGCAGTAGGTATTATTGAGAATAGTTGCATCAATTTTGCTTTTAAGTTATCATTTTGCTTTATTATACTAGTATTGTTATGTTTATTATTTCTGCCAATTTCTATTTCAAAATATTTTGCTTTATTCTTATTCTTAAACAAAACTATAACGAAAAGTTTTAAATTTGAGTAATAGTATATTGTCTTATAAAAATAATTCTTGTTATACGGTTTTTTTTATAATTATGTTGTCAGGAAAAAGAAAGAATTTATGAACAAAACCCTCATCACGAATGCGGTTGGGTAAGATTGTATAACTTTTTCATGGTGGTGGTTAATCAGCCCTAACTCATATTTTATAAATAAAAATGGAAAAGCATGCTAAACATTGATTTTAAAATAATACCATTGTATATGCCTAAAGATTATTGAAAAAATAAGGTTATTATTAAATGGCTTGAATGTAATGTATTCATCATAAAGTTGATACTTTTAACATTTTCTATAATTTAAAAATAAAAATAAAATAAACGCACAATATGGCTAAAAATTCTATGCATAAAAAATGAAATAAGATCCATAGATCAACATACTTGGCTGTCTGTCTCCAGACGGCAACGTGAAGTGGAACAAAAGATGGTTGAAGACGAAGCAGCCAAACGTATAGAGGAATTAGTACAGAAGAGGGTTGAGGAAGAACTTGAGAAACGTAAAGAAGAAATAGAAGCGGAGGTACAGAGACGGGTAGAGGAAGCAAAAAGGGCAATGGAGCGTCAAATGATGGAGGAGATGGAATGGCGACAAGCAAAACTGCGTGAGGAGGAGAAACGAAGAGAGGTAAGACCAATCCACAGAAACTTTGGCCAATGTTAGCCCAAGCGCTGTTACTTTCAGTGGGTAGTTAGCTTTTTATTTTCGAGTCAATCTCCATATTATATTGAACCTATACTTTAGTGAAAAGGCTGGTTCTGTAATATATGTTTATAGCATTATAGCTATTAAACTTGGAACTAGCTATAATGCTTTAGTTAAATTCTAAAGAGAAATAGAATTCTGTGACTGAAAAGTGGGTAAGATAAAATATTGCATCGCAATAGTTGTGTAATCGTACATGGTTTGTACATCTCCGAAGATCAGCATTAGAGACAAGTACTGCACAGAATGTTAATAATATAAATTGCATATATATATATTTCATTTTTTAATGCAAGTTGCTTGGTACTTGCAATATTGCTTAGTACTCGCAACTATAATTATTACATTTGTAAAATAAAATTAATATATTTTTGAATAATTAGATCGCGCGGTTACAGCGTTTGGGCTTGAAGCAGTATGGTTCTTGAGTATATACAAAAATTACTGGCAAACCATACTGCTTTAGCTTCCCAGCATCCACTGAAGTCGCATTGTTGGGGAGATAATACTTTATATTATTGAAAAGATGTTGATATCATAGGCGCATGTATCAATTATTTATGAACAGAATATTGTATTTTGTACCATGTATATATTTATTATATCTGTACAACATTATAACCTTTCATCACACTATATCTCGACTGGCAATTGCATCAACAACTGAAAATTGTGATCTAAGCAAAATCTCAAAAGTTTTCTTCACAATTTTTAAAGCTGTTGAACTTGTCGATCAGGCGATTAATGAAATTAATTTACACGCGCATATGTCCTCATAATTCGTTTAAAAAAAGAAACTAGTAGAGACAAAACTATTTCAATTATTAAAATTAAAAATCCCATCATTTGTAATATATTAAAAAGAAAATAATGAAAAATGATCATTATTTTAAAATAAAATTATTTTTCTAAGGAATGGGAAACTAATGTTGATCCCTAAGCAGTATTTCGGTGAAATAGTAGTTTTAAAGAAATGCTAGATTATATAATTAATAAGTCAAATCATATAAATATAATGAAGTAAATATAATAGAAGTACACTTTTTATACTTTATTTTGATTAATTAATTAACTACTTCAGTTATTATCACAATGCCTAAAACTCGGTGTTTGTAGCAATTTATTACTTCTCATATTTCATTTATACTTGCACACGTCTTTTGTGAATTTATAAGGATTAAAAAGATTTAAGGTAAAGACATATTGTCTTTTTTATCTCTTGGACGTACAGTATCTTAATCATTATTTTGAAGAAATTAACAATTATTAAAGAAACGATGTATTAACCATATGTAATAGCTTGTAATGTAACTGCTTTTTAAAAATTATTTTTGGGATCCTTACACAATATATTTCAATTAGAAACACTTTGCTAAATAACACAATTGGTTAAATAATTAGTCTTTATATTTAGATAGATAATAATAAAAATCTATGCAGAGCAGTTAGTGTGCAATCTTTCTAAAAACTTCAAATACCGAGCTCTAGCATTTTTTTTGTATAATACTGATACAACTGTTAGATGTCTATCATTATTCATTAATGAAAAATCCTGCTATCAATTGTGATCTACAAAAATCTATTAATATATATAAATAGGCACTTATATCAGGTAGATTTTTATTTTTATTTTTATTCTTTCCTTTTTCTCTTTTTATTTTGGTTATTATTATTATTTTTTTTTTATTTCTTATTCCTTTTACATCTGACTAAGAAATTTGTTGTCGTTCGTGTTTATGCACAATTTTTTTTTATCTTTAAAAAAAGAAATATCAATCCACACTCTGGTCAGATGGACAGCAATCCTGATTACAAGTTGAACAAACTTTGTCTTGTTTGCTTTGCACATTCAGTTTGCACTGAAAATGTCGACAAATTCGGGAATAAAGTTAATTAGAATGAAAAAAGTAGGAAAAGGCGGAATTAGCATTTCATAGCAACAAAGCACGACCTAGCAAAATATAGGTCACCTTCCTTACTGACTACCAACAGAAGATGCTGGTTTTTAACTCACTGCTGAGTGATTGTCAATGAAGACTGCTTCCCCTACGTGCTGGCGTGAGCTCCATTCAGGTATTATCCAATTTATATATTCATAATTCATTTTATACCAATACTACTATTATCATTCTTTGTTAAAACATTATAGAAAAGAAACTATATTAGGGATCATTTTAGATTTGGTAATTAGTAATACCTGGGACACAACGAATTCCGTCAACAGTTCAGGTGGATGACACCGTTCGTTTTTATTGTATCTGAGTATTATAATTTTAAATAAGAATACTGAATATATCATTTTAATATATATATATATATATATATAACAACACTGAGATTATTAAACACACAAACATATCTACTCTTTTAAAGTATATATATGTATATGTATATGTATATGTATATGTATATGTATATGTATATGTATATGTATATGTATATGATATGTATATGTATATATACGCATATATATTCTCTTTCAGTATATTTTTAAATCTTTCTTCTGCATTAAACTGGTATATCTTCGTGTCGCGTAAAAAAGGAAAAAAAATTTTGTTGCAAACAGGATAATCACGATTTTGTTTTCGTATTTGCATGTACAGTGAATTTACTTATTCAATCTCTCATAATTCACTTTTTTTCACTTTCAAGTGGCATCCTAAGTCGTCGTATTTTCATCTGGGAAATCTCTGACAATACACAGCATTCGCTGGGAACTAAGAGGAGCAAGTTTAATTCTGAAAGAAAAGGAAGTGGGTTTTTTATACATGCGTCCTCTGTCATTTAATCACAACAAAGCTATCCTATTTATTGAAAATTCAGCCTCAAAATTTCACATATTTCCAATTACTTTTCCTATACATGAAGTTTCTTAGGATGTATTAAGCTGTTGAAATAGCGGCATTAAGCTTTCTGATATGAACGGTGTACCAACAACTGGTGAGCGACAATATCATTTCTTTGTGTAAACATATGTTGTTGTCATTGTAGGACGAAGAGCGGAAGAAGCGCGAGGAGCTAGAGAGGATCATGGAAGAAAACAACAGGAAAATTGAAGAAGCTCAGAAGAAATTAGTGAGTTCCAAATAAAGACGTTGACGCAGACGTTAAAATTTATTTTCTTCTTTATCTGGTGTTGCTTTATGAACTGTTCGATAGTCTATTTAAGTTCGAACTAACAGTATTAAGCGGCAGCGTCAACATTTCAAAATTAGACAAAGTAATTGTTGGCACTAATTTTGTATTATTTTTTCTATAATTACAGGCCGAAGAAAGATTGGCTATGGTTGAAGAACAACGTCTTATGGAAGAAGAAAGACAACGAATGAGAAAAGAACATGAAAAACGTGTTAAGGAGGAGCAGAAAAAAATCCTAGGCAAGAACAACTCAAGGCCTAAATTGTCGTTTACGCTAAAACCAGTTACGTGAGTTTGTATTAAATCGTGCAAGTATATATGTGATATTCACATATTCTTGTCGGTTTTGAAATTAGTTCATAACCAACAAGAATAATACTCGTTTGCTGTGCATAGAAAAATATTTCAGTCAAACGCAGCAACAAATTCCCAAAGTTTTTGTGAATTTTATTCACTGTGATTGTTGAAATCTCTAAAGCATTGAAACATCATTTGATTATGACTAAAGTGGATATGTCAAAATTAAATGATATAATATTTCATGCTTGATAGGTTTCATTACGATCATAAATGGGACTTAAAACTTTTTTTAAGCTACACTTACATCAAAATTTATTCTATCTTATGTTAACTGTATTTCTTCATTGTTCGCTATTATTGCTTGTAACATAATGAATTACTCACAGACGTATCGACGGCTGTTTATTAAACAAGTCAGTTTAATTCTATATTTGGTGTAAGTGTTGTTTAAATATATGTGTTCCCAAATATCGTTTTAAATAGTATGAATTTTCTCTTCTTGTATTATAACAGAAAATAAAATTTTGTTTCAGTTAGAATATATATAACGGATATTACGTTAGGGTACATTTGTATTTTCTATAGAGATAACAAATTCGTCTCACACAGTAAATATAAAAGTATAAAACTACAAATTGATTCAATATTCACTTATTGAAGTTCAATGTTATTCATCGGTTGTATGAAACAACACACATACAGATTTTTTTAATAACTGCGATACGCGATATTTCACTATTTAACAGTTCTAGTTACATATTTGAAAATTCTGATAAAAGACATCTGTTATGGCGTTAGTAAAATTTTACATTATTTAAATCAAAACAAAAACAGAAATAAATAAATACGGGAAAGTGAATGGATAATCTAATTGATATAACAGATTGAAAGTAGATGGTTTTGTACGTATCGAAATATAAGTGCTGACATTTGAAAAAGATGTCCTTTATGAATCGTGTATAGATATGTATTAAAAAAAAAAAAAAACCAAAAAGATAAACTGCAAAACAAACAAAAATCTGTTCATACAGAATTGTGTACCCGTGATATTGTTACTTGTAAAATAAATACGTTTTTATTAGTCGCTCTTTTGTTTATTCAATCGAATTAATTTTAGCTTTTAGAATACATATTAGTTATAATTATAATTATTATTTAGGCAATGTAATTATGTATCTTTCTTTTTGTATTATACATAGTGCATAAAAGATTTTGTAAAAAATCAATTTACAGATATTGCCAATTCGTATGTTGTAAACTTTTGGATTTTGGTAGAATTGATTTACCCAAAGCAGTCAAACATAATCCAGTGTTTGGCTGTACATCAGTGATCATTTGTTTATATGCCAGCACAAAATCTCCTGTATCCGCGTTTGGATTGAAGGGATAATCCATTATGACTAAAATATAAAAGGAGCATTTTTATCGAAGCAAGCCATTAGATGAAAAACATTAAGTAAAATAAATAATGCAACCTTTTATAAGACTTTCTAATACATTAGGATATAATCTTTGAGTGATTCTAGTTCCAGGTGGATGCATACGAGGATTTGTATTAATCTCTATCAACCAAACCGACAGATCATTCATAATTACAAAATCAGCTCCATATAATTCAAAGCTGTATTTTCTTTTATCCATATGTTCTTGGGCTGCTAACATAGTAGCAATTATAGCTTGACATATTTTTGGATAGATTTTTTCATACCATGGTTCTCCCGTATAGCCTATCGTTCTGTATATAAGAAACAAAAAAGATTATTTTTCTTGTAAAATATTATTGATGCTAATTTATGTTCACTTACTTTAAATATTCATTAAGTTTTTCGCAATCCCAGTCAAGAGAACGAGCAGAATTTTTAGGAATAATATATTTGTTCTGGACTGCAGTGTTACAGATGTGTATGGCTTCATGATAGCTATCAAAAGAGAACGGTCTTGAGCTAAAACGTAAAAATGATTCTCTGATACACAATAATATTTTCTGTTCACTTTGCTATGAAATAAAATGATAATAATTGTATTCTTAAACAAACTTTGTACTTGTAAATCCATATAGTTAGCGGATAACTGCTGGTAACAAGGTACCATTGTCTAACGTCGAATTTCGTATCCCTTACCAATAATGGTTTTTCTACAAAATCAAATTTCTTGTATGCTTTTCACTAATTTCGACGCTTACTCAAAATGATTAATTTATATTTACAATTACCTATATATTTTTGTACAATAAAATAATCTCTCGCGCAATCCTGTACTCTCTTAATAATGTAACTTAATTTATGAGCCATTGCAATTCCTACTCCGCAACAATAATTACTTGGCTTTAGAATCCAAATATTTCGGGTTCCGTTTAATTCGTATTGAGGATCGATTTCTTTTACTTTCTTTAAAGTTTCCAATGCTAAATTGTATAAAATCTAATATTTTAAAAATTAATATAAATTAGTATAAATCTTTAATTATATTATTATTAAATAAACCAAAAAATTTCGTGTCGTTTTTAGATTTCTGAATCATTTATTTACATTTATTAAAACTGCACGAATTTTCTTGGTTTAATAAATATTTTATTTACGATTAAAGACGATCGTTCACTGTCGAATTGTTCCAATTCTTCATCTATAATTCCATTGCCATGATGAACAGCCATAATGTAATCATCGATAAATTTATCCCATTCTATCGAAGAAATGAGGACTTCTGGTGTGTCCAAATATTCGTCGTTTTTCATGGCAATAAATTCCTCGCATCGTTTTATCGCAAATTCGATTTGTTTTGGAGAAATAGGCGACGAACCCTTATTAGTTAAATTGACACCTTGTTCGACTTGATCAATGAACCATTTTAAAAAGCTCACTGCTGCAGTTTGTCGATAATCATCAGTAAATGCAGTTTTGTCACGTGCAACGTTGTAACTTCTTGGATATTGTACACTCGCAATGTCATCTTCGATATACCAATGAACATTCTCCAAAATTGTTGCCATTCCAAGCTAACAACAACAACAACAAAAATATATAAAATGTACAATTGATAATTTAAAGAAAATATTTTTCTAATTGTTCACAAAATCAATTTGTTTATTTTTATTTTTACTTTTTATTTTTTTTATTATTACTATTTTTACCTTCGACGTGTATATAAATGATTTTTCAAATCTGTTCAACAAAGTATCAGGTTTGATATGACCCGTCCATTCGACAAAATCATTTCTACAATCCCAAATAAAATCGGGTGAGATATGTTTCAACACACTAAAGATAACATAATCTTCGTTCAAGGATCCATCTGCAAGATGAATATTACCAATTGACGGTGGATCCGTGATAGCTGTACTACCTAAAATCAATTTTTATTTCATAACATAATAATTGTAATAATTAAAAAATTGAATATTACAGTAAATAATACCATAAGGCAGATGTCTCGATTTTCTAGACTCGTATTTTTTTATCCAACCTCTTTTCTTCAATGTATTCTCCAAATATGGAATATCGCCACGTATTAAAAAGATTTTTTTATTCTACGAACAATCCAAGTTGACGTTGAACGATAAATTTTTTTTCATTATGATATTAGCTTTTTTTTTACCTTGATAGCTTCTTCCACTCTTCGTTGAACCACAAAATAAGTTGCCTTGCTACCATTATGATCTATGTTTGGATTTTCCATCGATATTTCTTTCATTTCAATCGTTTTAGATTCATCAGATTTATTTTCGGATTCAATCTCCTCAGATGAGTCAGCCTTAAAAATAATAGAATAACTTTCTTTAGATGAAAAATTATCTTTTAGCAATACAAAATTATTCACAGCTTCTTCATTAGAATCTGAAATATCATCTGTGCTGGCGATTGTTTGATAATTATTTTTAGTTGTTTTAGAAAGAATCGAAGGTTTATCGGTATTTTTTTCTTCATTCTAAAACAGAATACATTAAAAAAGATATTTGAGTGATAATTTTAATGGAATATATATACACTTATCTTCTTACATTGTGATTGAAATTTAACAAAGTCCGAGTAGACGTTGGTCTTCGTACTTTATCCGTATTTTTATTTAAAATAATTGGCGATTGAATCAAATTGGTTGGTCTGATAACAGATTTTAAAACTTGTTGTTCAAATTGTTTTCTCTGTTGTTTAACTTGAACAAGTTTGGTCTTATAAAATCCTTGCAATAAAAAGTCATTTTTTGGAGATATCATTGATTTCTTCGGTTCACTCCGTTTGTTGGTTGCACCAGGCTCACTGACTGGATCGATATTTCGTCAGCTTTACCGATTATTAATCAACGTGTAATCATGGATAAAAGATGTATTTCAAGGAAAGAATTTTCGCGAAACAATATATCTTACCTGAAGCCAATCTTTTAGTTGATTGTTGAGAATTAATTTTATTTATTGTAGTAGCAGCAGTAGCAGTAGATTGTCCACGAATAATAGTATCGTGTCTTAATCCTGAATGCAAACGATCTTGATTGTTACAATGAGAATTTTGTTCCATATTCGTGAACATGAGTACTATTAAAAAAGGTCAAATTTAAATTTAGAATTTTAATTTTGTATTAATATAAATCAGATTAATTATTGATTAGTGATAGTTTAATTTAGAGGTATGATTAAATCGAAAAGGAGGTTACGAATATAAAGGACTAATTAAAATTATTTCATGATATCGAATGCATTAGCGATATTCGATTGCTTAGGAATTTTTTTGTTTTTATTATCTATTTCAGATCGATTAAATTCTTGTCAAATTTATTATTTAGTAAATTAGGATATTAAAATGAAACATTTTTCTCGAATACCTAAAAAAAGGCCTCTCGTTTTACAAATTTCTATTTTATTTAAATTTTATTTGGTTTGGCATTCTTTAAGATGCACATCCCTCGTGGGTCTTTAAAAACGGTTACCTCCTCGTGGTTAGACCTGGGTAATGGTATTTTACTTTCAATGTAATGTTTATCATATTTTATATGCTATACATTTTATTGTAAGTAAAATTCAGGCAAAGACCGTTTACCATAGACATTATAATTGTTATTAGTTTCTTTGAACCTGCTGTTTAGTAGAATATTTTTATTCCTTTCATCGGTTCCTTCCATACATTTCGTCTATAAAAACTAATTACTTTATCATGTTTTTTAATAATTTTTATAGTTTTGCAGGTAACACACGAAATAATTAAGAATTATTTAAATTTCATTTTTATTTTCCTTTATCTTCAAGAAGAATAAATTTTAATACGTGGTAAAGGATCGTTTTTTAAATGATTTGCACTTGATGTTTAATAAAATGTAATTTTTAATTAGTAAAAAACTTCTCTAGTTATAAAATAAAATATATTACATATCATTAAACGAGAACGTTTCTCATCCTTCGATCCTATAATCTGAATTTTTTTCGCATTTTCTGTAATACAAATAATAGAAATAATTAAGTATATTTGAATAGAAAATTCGTATGTACGGAGGGTCAAATAAGTTTCTGAAACGTAATTTATTATACTCCAACTCGAAATGTGTGACAAGAATAAATAAAAATTTGTTTATATAAAATTCCGAAAGTAATATACTAGACATTCATATTAATGTACAGAAACTTATTTGCATTAATTTATTTAGAGTATTCAAGAGTTTTCATTTAAGAACTAATTATTAATGGATTAACTCATTTGACCATTCATTATATAAATATATATATGTATTCCTTTAGACAAAAACCTATTAACACATTGTACGCCGATGGCATCTGAAACATTTAAAGTCTAAGCGCCGGCACCGTATCAACCGCTTAAAACCTGGGCGCCGGCATGATTCGCTTGTTTACGACCAATTAGTAGGTGAAGAAAATATTTAAAATTTTATACATTTTCGTAAAACAGTAAATTTTGTTTGCATATTCGTCATATACAAAACCATCGTATACGTTTCAATTTGACAGTATAAAAAAAATGTAGATCGGCGTAATCATGACAAGAGAAGGCAGACAGTCAAGCAAAAGAATCCCGCATTATCACGGGACCGGCGCTCAAGCGATAGACTTGGAAACCCGCGTTTTCGCGAGGCCGGCATACAATATGTTAAATAAATATATCAAGTAATTTACCAATAATAGCATCCTGGTTTTTTACAAGTACATCATGCATCCATTCCTTATGACAAAGTACAGCCCGATTAATCATTTGTATCATATTTTCGTGTATGGAAGAATGTAAAAGAAGCAATGGTGAAATTGATAGAAAATCCTTCAATATACTTTCGCTATAATGGACAAATTAGAATTTTGTATTTCTTTTTTAAGCTCGAAAAAAACATTTAAAAGTATAAATATGTAAAATATGTATTTTAAAAATAGTCGTACCTTTGCAATTTAGTTAACGTATACTCTAACATAATATCAATAATTATATTAGGTAATAGTACGTGTAATTCTTTCTTTGATTGGCAAGAATTAGCATTTATCATTGCTTGAAATATAGGTTTCATTGTCATTTGATTGATGTACCATATCTGACTTGCTTTGAAAAATAGGGTTCTCAAAAGTTTATTTAATTGTGTCAATGCGAAATTATTAATATCGGACCAACCATTAATTATTTCTGTAATTAATGAAATTAATAAATAAGTGTGATAAAAACATTATATAAATAAATATATTTAAAATACCGTTTAAATAATCCATAACGTATTTACAGGATGCCTTGTCCAGTTTATCTGTGATATTATAACTTAAATTAACAGATGAAAACCAAGCATAAATTTGACAAATGCCCAAATTTTGTTCCAAACATTTATCAATCATTTCTGAAGCAGAGAAATCTCTTTGCCGTTTTCTTAACGTTTCAACAGTGTTTTTTCTACTATATGGAAATTCGGAGAACAAGTTCTTAATGTAAATACTTTGAAAAGAATTTTTAAACCACATTTTGGTATCTTCATCGTTTAATATATCAATATATTCAATGATTAATTGTATAATTACTACAATATGTTTTAATAAAATAGATGCTTCGTAAGTAATAACAGTTTCAGAAGTATGACCATTTTTTTCTTCTGGACATACTTCAATCCAGCTATCAAGCATCAAAGGCATTAATACACTTATATATTTCATGAGTTCATTTGTATCTCGACTTTTTTCATCGGTAATATTTTCCAAGCTAACAATACTTTGCAAATCTATTTGACAATCTTGTACATCAACTTGCGTGTAAAGCGGAATATATTTGGTTTTTCCATCTACGTATATTAATTTTTCAGATGGCATATAATTTTGTGTTTTTTTGTAACTTATAACAGATCCCAACATGTTTCCAAGACGTTCTAAAACTTTAATTCTCCATTTGACACTAGTATTTTTCGAATTCAATGTTGTTGTTAATTGCCTTCCTGGTTTTATTTCAGTGTGTATTCTAGAAATCATGTTCAAAAAGTTTGGTAATACTTTATGACTGTTTTTTGCAATGATACTATTACAGTTTTGTACTAATATGTCTAAAAATAATAAAGAATCTTCTTTAATATTTGGATCTATATGTGTCATTGCACAGTTTAAATATGAAATTAAAACATCACAAAAGGGTGTTAGTCGTTTAGTAGAAATAGGACTCAAAATAAGATTTAACACTCTGAAGGAATCTCTTCTTATATTTTTTTCTTTATCGAGAGATAAAGCAGAAATTCCTTTTAACAATGGTTGCAATTGAGAATTTAACATATCTGAAGGATGTTGTAATAGAATGTCTTTGAGTTCTTTCACCGCTTCTTGACGAACAGTAGAATTATGATGATGAAGTCGGGTTAATAAATCCTATATACAGAAAGAATACAATGATAATGTTAGTACGAGCTGATACTAAAAAAGTCATAGTATATTACAGTTATTTCATTTAATAGTTGTTTTCTTCATAAATTAACGAATTTCATAAAATAATGGTAATATATATACATATACACATCATATATGCATACCTTAATATTAAGCTTTCGTTTACTAATAATTTCAGCTTCATTATATTGTCTGAACTGTTCACGTATGACGATTTTTTTAACTTTAAACGATGTATCTGTTACATTTAATCCTTTTGGTAACAGTTTATTTTTCTTTGTTTTTAATTTCACTTTAGCCTTCTCTGATTTTAGATGTTTCAAATGTTTATGACCTTTTGCCATTTTTACAATTTATACCAAAATATACCGTTTAATATACAACGTAGTTACATATATAATATATTTATATTAACAATATTGTTAATAAATAATTAACACATTAAATGTTTCAATATTATTTATATAAAGATCCTATTTCTACCTCTCAGAATTCTAAGAGAATTCTCTTTATGTATTATAATTATTTATTAACATTTATCTTATAAGTTAAAATATAATTAGTATTTCAACAGAATAACACGTGACTAAACCATGAATTAAATGATTGAAGAAATAGAATTGTATTGGCTACATGTACGCATACCAAGAATTAAACATACATAGAAAAATACTTTTTTTTTTGTAAATACGACGATATAGAGTTCCAAGAAGAAATTAAAAATTAATTTATATTTTTTTATGTAGAATCGAGTTGTTTAAAGATAATATTTAGAAATTCATTTTATAACAGTATTCGGATAAAGTCCCTAGGAAATAATCTCTAGGCACAGAGCGTTGGCAACGAATTTATACGGTCTCTTAGGATTGGACACACGGAGCCTAGATACCAGGAGGGCGATCGACATAGAAAAATAACTAATAAATGCGACTGGAAAAAAAAGGAAAGATCATTTTCAGAAATACGCTGCTAAGTTTCGTTATGTTCGCTAATGTCAAGTTTATAACGTTATATTTTTCATTGACAATTGTTGACAATACTGCATCATTAGCAATTGTATTAATGTTTTTTTAATTTATAAAAAGTAATATTTATTTAAAAATGGTAAATAAATGTGTGGCGTCCCGCATGTAGAGGGTTTCTCTATAGTAAAGATAATATTAGACTGAATTTTTATTTTATGATTTTTATTGTTAGGATGCGACTTGCTTTTCTTTCTTGTACACTTCTCAACGGCTACGCACAGACTGTTCTAGTCTAGTGACCACTACTTGCCAGCGTAGTTCCCTAGCCTTCTAGTAACTTAGATGGCGCGACCTTCGGTCGTACCGCTACACGCATGTAGAGGGTTTCTCTATAGTAAAGATAATATTAGACTCAATTTTGTTTTATGATTTTTATTTAACGGATGCGACTTGCTTTTCTTAGTTGTACACTTCTCAACAGCTACGCACAGACTATTCTAGTCCAGTGCCAGTGATCCCAGAGACTTTAGTTCGTTTGATGGACACAGGGGCGGAAAATTATCGTACGCGGCACAAAATTATCGTACGCCCCGGGAAAATTTGAAATCCGACTATTTCTCGGACAGAATTTTGAAAAAGTCCAAACAACTGTCTAAGTCCCAACTTTTTGAGGTTGATGACCTTTTTTTATTTTTTTTTACTCATCAAGTTTCCAAACCCTATCTTGAAAACGATAAAAACGGTCGTCGAACGGGGAGACAGTGCTGTCAGATCGTGGGAAAATCTTACCCTCTCCCTGTGCCACTAGGATTGCACACAATGAAAGTTTTCCATGTCCGTGTGTTTGGGATTTCGAGGAAAGCCGAGTGTAACCGAAGTTGGCGGTTGGCCACGAAGTGGCACACTATGAAAGCAACTCGTGTCCATGTGTTCGGACGACACGAGTCGCTTTCATAGTGTGCCACTCCGGCGTGCCCGCCAACTTCGGTTACACTCGACTTCTTTCGACATCCCAAACACACGGACATGGAAAACTTTCATTGTGTGCAATCCCAGTGGCACAGGGAGAGGGTAAGATTTACCAACGATCTGACAGCACTGCGGGGAGATCGTGCTGGAGGTGGCGGTGGAGATGGTAGTGGGAGTCGTGGTGGGAGTGGTGGTGGGAGTGAGGGTTGGGGTGGGGGTGCACCTTTCGAAAATTTGTTGACTAAAAAAAAAAAAAAATCATCAAGTTTTCCAAATTCCAAATGGATACGCCACGAATTTTGGATCGTACAGGACCTCAAATTATCGTACGGATGGGATCAGTGCTGTCAGATCGTGGGTAAATCTTACCCTCTCCCTGTGCCACTGGGATTGCACACAAGTTTTCCATGTCCGTGTGTTTGGGATGTCGAAAGAAGCCGAGTGTAACCGAAGTTGGCGG